GATGCGAGCTGTTCGTGAAAGCACTCAATATCGGCTAAAACAGCCGATTCAGGCATAGTGCACAGCTAAAGCCATGTCTTATCAGGAATAGATCTATCAAATAATGATCTCCACTCCACGGTGCTAACAGTGGGGTATGAGGCAGAATCATACAGGCCATGATAACGGGCTATGGAATGGTTCTCGCTAGCCAATAAATCTACTCAAGACACAACACGTCTTAACCGCACGCTATGCACGATCAGGATTGACATAAAACAACCGACAAAACATAACTCATCGTTTAAGGTGTAGATTAGATCAATTTAGATTAGCAAACGATGAACTAAACAAGATATAAGGCCGATCTAGATCAATCCCAATCGGGCAGAGTGATATTGCTTTAATTAGATAAATAATAAAAGCAATAAACGATATCGGTAACTTAATGAATCTACCAAAGGCTGCCATCCTAAGGTAGAGCCGATAACTTGACCTTGATCTAGTTCATGCAGTGGGGGTCGACCGGATCGATGCAGCCATACTTGAACTAGGCAAGAGTCGATAACTAACTTATACTAGAGTCGCAGTGGAGGTCGACCGGATCGATGCAGCCGTACTTGCTGAAGAACTCGCCGAGATCCACTCTACTCCACTCCAAAGGGGTGGCCGGAGCCGAAAAAGTAAATAACTTGTATATTGGATCGATTGTTGTTCTTTTACAATAGCCGGGATTTGATATTTATACTTAGAGTTTAAACATGAATCCTACTTGAGCACGATTCGTTATGATTTTCCGACATAAGAGAAAATATTCCTAATTTAAGATAACTTGGACCCTAATCTTTTCTTTTTTTTAGAGTCCAACATGCTTTGTCCTGACGCCGATCGTAGCCTTCGTCGTTACCTGCTGGCGCTATCTGAAGAAAGCCGATTCCAGTTTTTGCATCCGAATCAGCTGATTTCGATCTGCACGCAATTGATATCTTGATGGCATGATTTTGGCAGCTTTTGAGTCCCTGCAACTCTTCTTCCAAATTTTAGTGTAAACAGCTGACATACTGTCCGGGGCCGCGCAGACACTAATACATTACTGGGTTTTAGATATCAAATCATTTTCCGGTCAGCACATCGTGTAGAAATCAAATCAAATATGCGATCGCTCTATGCCTATCTGCTAAAAAAAGCATACACTATTACTCCTTTATGTGCGTTCGCTAGAGCCGAACTGTACATGGTGTTGTCTAATCACCGCATGGACACTGGAATGCAAGTAAATAAAATGAAATAAAACGGAAAGAGAATTATGGGAAGAAAAAGGAATTTATTGGAATATCACCACGCAATGATCATGATCGTAATCCAAATCTCGTTCGTCGTCCTTCGCGTTGCGTGTTGACAATAAATATTTTTTTCTCAAAAAATGAATTGTTGTCATGCCTCATGCGGGCTAGAATATTGTAAGTCCGAGTATACAAGTTTTGGGCAATGCAGAGCATGGATAAATTCAATTCGATGTCTAGCAATAAATTTTTAGCCTTTGAGGCAACTGATATTTGTCGTAACTTTCAGACATCAAGCTCCAAGCCTGACTTTTATTTCAGATTCATTACGATAATGAATATGTTTCTAGACATTATCATGGTATAATACACTTGAAAAATTGAATTGATATATTTTTTATTTTGACTTGGCTAACAAACATCTCATTCAATTTATGTTGCACTCATTGCAACGCACGGGCACTCGTCTAGTAGAAAAACTGAAAATAGAAATAAGAAGAAGCACCGACGGCACTGTCACCGGCCAGTGATACTCAGGCAGCAAGGAGGAGGGCTGGCATACTGGCCGGGGCCGCGCAGACACTAATACATTACTGGGTTTTAGAAATCAAATCATTTTTCGGTCAGCACATCGTGTAGAAATCAAATCAAATATGCGATCGCTCTATGCCTATCTGCTAAAAAAAGCATACACTAATACTCCTTTATGTGCGTTTGCTAGAGCCGAACTGTACGTGGTGTTGTCTAATCATCGCATGGAGACACTGAAAGGTAAGTAAATAAAATAGAATAAAACGGAAAGAGAATTATGGAAAGAAAAAGGAATTTATTGGAATATCATCACGCAATGATCATAATCATGATCCAAATCTCATTCGTCGTCCTTCGCGTTGCGTGTTGACAACAAATACTTTTTTTCCCAAAAAATGAATCGTTGTCATGCCTCATGCGAGCTAGGATATTATAAGTCCGAGTATATATATTTTGGGCAAGGCAGAGCATGGACAAATTCAATTTGATGCCTAGCAATAAATTTTCAGCCTTTGAGGCAACTGATATTTTTCGTAACTATCAGACAACAAGCTCCAAGCGTAACTTTTATTTCAGATTCATTACGATAATGAATGTGTTTCTAGACATTAGCATGGTATAATACACTTGAAAAATTGAATTGATATATTTTTGATTTTGACTTGGCTAACAAATATCTCATTCAATTTATATTGCACCCGTTGCAACGTAGGGTACTCATCTGGTAGAAAAACTGAAAATAGAAATAAGAAGAAGCACCGACGGCACTGTCACCGGCCAGTGATACTCAGGCAGCAATGAGGAGGGCTAGCATACTGGCCGGGCCGTGCAGACATAATACATTACTTGGTTTTAGAAATCAAATTATTTTCTGGTCAGCACATCGTGTCAAATATGCGATCGCTCTACGCCTATCTGCTAAAAAAACATACACTAGTACTCCTTTACGTGCGTTCGCCAGAGCCGATCTGTACGTGGTGTTTGGCGTGTTCGCTGGCCGGTGCTGGTGGTAGTTTGGATTAGCTAGTGCTGTTTTTTAGAGAAAAACACTATTGATTGGTTAAATAAGTCTAGCTGAAACTAATAAACGAACAAAACGGGCCAGTAGTACGTTTTACAACCGAGTCCATCTGCGCACCAGTGGTCAGCATCAGCCACAGCAGATCCGGCCGGCACAAATAATATAAGGCTGTGTTTAGTTTCTAAAAACTTTTCTAAAAAATACTAGAGTAGTTATCACATTGAATCTTGCGATACGTGCACAGAGCATTAAATATAGACGAAAAAAAACTAATTACACAGTTTAGTTGAAAATCGCGATACAAACATTTTGAGCCTAATTAGTCCATAATTAAACACTAATTACCAAATAAAAACAAAAATACTACGATAGTCAAATTCCCAAATTTCACGAACTAAAGACAGCCTAACGCACAAAAAAACACGCCACTGCCGCCCCCGTTCCGCCGCGGTCGCGCCAACCCAACGGATCAACAAGTGAGCAGCCAAGAACCACCTATGGCTGAGCGAGAACCACCTCTCTCACTCTTTTCGACTCCTGTCACTCCGATCCGTGGCATTTTTGCCGAGAACCACCTATGGCTGAGCGAGTTTATTATCAAATCAATCTCAGGCCTTGTTTAGATTGCTTCAAAGTTCTAAGTTTTTTTATTTTCTCTTCATCACATCGAATCTAGGGACACATGCATGCAGCAGTAAATGTAGATAAAAAAATAACTAATTACATAATTTGATTGTAAATTACGAGACGAATCTTTTAAGCCTAGTTAGTCCATGATTAGACAATAATTGTCAAATACAAATGAAAGTGCTACAGTGTCAAATTTTTCTAACTCTTGCAATCTAAAGAAGGCCTCAGCGTCCTTATCCGGGGCCAATATCACCAGTAGCAACCGCGCCAAACCAACTTAGGCCCTCTTTAGTTTCCAAAATTTTTTGCCTCCTATAGTAAAAGAGTATATTTTGACACATGCATGGAGTACTAAATGTAGACGAAAAAAAAACTAATTGCACAGTTCTCGGCAAAATTGTGAGACGAATCTTTTAAGCCTAATTAGTCCATGAAAAACCTTAAGTGCTACAGTAACCCACATGTGCTAATGGCCGATTAATTAGTATCATTAGATTCATCTCGCAGTTTCCTGATGGGTTCTGTAATTTGTTTTTTTTATTAGTATCCAAAAACCCCTCCCGACATCCTTCCGATACATCCGATGTGACGCCCAAAAATTTTCACCTCCCCAACTAAGGTACCGTTTAGTTCGCTCCCAAAATACCAAAATTTTCAAGATTTCCCGTCACATCGAATCTTTGACGCATGCATGAAGCATTAAATATAAATAAAAAATAAAACTAATTACACAGTTTAGACGAAATCCACGAGACGAATCTTTTTAGTCTAATTAGACTATAATTGGACACTAATTATCAAATAACAACGAAAACTACTACAGTATCATTTCGTCTAAAATTTTGCAAACTAAACAAACCCTAAACACACCCTCATTGACAACCATAGCAGGTGCCAGCCAAAATGTGTCATTTCAGAGCAGGTTCCAGCCAAAATGTCTGCCGAGAACACCCTACAAGGCTACAAAGCAGTCACCTAGGCTACAAAGCAGTCACCTTGTAGAGCAAAACCTGAACTCTTTTCGACTCTCACTCCGATCCCTGTCATTTCTTCTCTGGCTATATAAGCAGCCATCCAAGGACCAAGGGGCACACCACAGGCTCAGCCTCAACCTCAGCTCTCTCTCTCTCTCTCTTCAAGAACTCGAGGTCTAATTGTCCCAGTACGTCTCGTTCCCTTATGCTAATTTTGTCTTGTGCTCTAGCAAATCAAGCTCATCATCAGCTCGATCGATCGTGTTCTTATTGGCACAGCTAACACGCGTCCATACCTCACCCTCACTGCATATCCATGAGTCGTCGTCGTCGTCACCGGCATTCCAATGATCCCATCTCGTGCTTTCAGCCTGTTCGGGAGGCCGTATCGTATCGTGGATTATTTACTGCTGGCTGGTTTGGTGTGAGAGAAAAACACTATTCCCGACTAGAAATTTACGATCGTTTACGAGCAAGCGAAGAGGCTCTTTTGTCCCGCCCCGTTTTAATTTCACGCGTTGAATGCATATGCAGTCACCTCGTTTCCCACTGTAGCTCGTATAGACATTTGGCCCGGGCACTATGGGCCGGCTCAAGCACGGCACGCTACATGGGCTGGCACTATGCTGGCCCGATAAATATCAGTCGTTGGATCTCCTAACTAAACCAGAGCCGTTAGATTCACGTCAAGTAATATATAATCGTAGAAACCCTAGCTCCTCACTCTCTCTTCTCTTCCCCGTCTCTGTTTTTCCCACGCAACTGGCGGCGGCGTGGCCCTCCTGCGGGCGAGCGCAGGCGGCGGTGCGGCCCCGGCGAGGGCGAGCTCAGGCGGCGGCGCGGCCCTCCTGCGGGCGAGCGCTGGCGGCGGCGCGGCCCCGGTGAGGGCGCGCTCAGGGGGCGGCGTGGCCCTCCTGCGGGCGAGCGCAGGCGGCGGCGCGGCCCCGGCGAGGGCGAGCTCAGGGGGCGGCGTGGCCCCGGCGAGGGCGAGCTCAGGTGGCGGCGCGGCCCCACGCCGGCGGGCGAGCACAGGCGGTGGCGCGGCCCCGCGATGGTGAGCGCTGGCGGCGACGTGGCCCCACGCCGGCGGGCGAGCTCAGGCGGCGGCGCAGCCCCACGCCGGCGGGCCAGCACAGGCGGTGGCGCGGCCCCGCGAGGGCGAGCGCTGGCGGCGACGCGGCCCCACGCCGGCGGGCGAGCACAGGCGGCGGCGCGGGCACGCCAGGCTGCTGTGCTTGACGGCACGGCACGGCACGGTTCACCGCCCATAGGGCCGTGACTGGGCCAAGGTCTCGGCACGGCGGCACTATTAGACACTGCACGGTTAAGCCACCGTGCCGCATAGTGCCGTGGCTGACCGTGCTCGTGCTAGTGCCGTGCCGTGCGGCCCGGTTGGCCATGTATATGTCCTGCTGCCCACTGTACTTTCTCGCTCCCACTGCCGATCGTTGATTTCTTCACTGTTGCATGCATTAATGGTCCTCATCCTCATCAGCCAGAAATTGCGAGTTTGCCTCTAATTTTCTCTTTACCAATTGCTCAATTAATGGTCGTCTGTTAAGGAATTTGTGAGGAATTTGGAATATGATAGGAGTATGGATTTTCTTCGAGAATGAGCACAGCCGGAATTCTTTGAAACTATACTGGATTATCGGATTTTCTTCGAGAATGTGCGAATTATTGGAGTTCTTGTGAAACAATGGATCAGTTATTTACTTGGAGTTCTTTTGAAACAATGGATCAGTTATTTACTTTTCAGACCCGTGGAGTATTGGACGTCATTTTGAAACAAGTTTATTACTACAGTAGAAAATGTAAGTATAGTTTATGTAACTATGACAAGTTTATCACATCCTTGTGCTTTAATTATTTACTGGATATTGATAAAAAACACTGTAATTAATTGCATATTAGTTTACCCATGCATGCTCATTGCATATAATTAACATCTTGTGTTTTTTTTAGATAATGTTACATCTTGTGTTTAATGTTTACTGCATCTTAATTTACAGATGCTCTGCATTCACACACCTATACTATTATTGTAGGCCGATTCTTTTTGTGGAAGGACGTGTTGAAGCTTATGATGGTGAAAATGAAGAATTGGATATGTTAGAGACGTAAGTAACACTTAATCTTACATGGGTAGAGCATTCCATCTTACATGGGTAGAGCATTCCAATGGGCAGAGCATGTAACTTATGTCTGCTTATGTACAGGTTGGCATCAGTACTGCAAGAGCCACCTTCTATGGACAGTGTTCTTCAAGACGAGCTTACTATTGGAGCGTGAGCATTCTTCTTTTTTAGCGTTTATAAGATGGAGTGATTATATTGTTTTAAACTTTAGTTTGCTAATAAAGCAGTGTGAGTGGTTGATAAATGAAGTGATTTGATATATTCTAGTTTCGTTGCTGCAGAGAGAGAGTGCAGGTGGAGCAATATGACAATCAGCTCGGACCCAATGATTTGCAAGCCTGCCTCCGCCAAGGAGAATGGAACCGTGCACTTGATATCTTGACTCACATGGTGCGAAACGGAGCTGCTGCGGCAAACCCGCTGGATATCAGGGAGGACACACCCCGAGCTTTTGTTGTTGCTGCGGGGGCAAGCATTATTTGATCTGAGGAAAATGGGTGATGCCATCCGAGCTGGTGCTTACCACCGCAACTATATCTGTGCTGATTATCCTGATGATTCCAGTACCGGCATCGAGTCCGTGGACAAGCTGTTGGCTGAAATACATGCGATGGTTCAGAGTGAGGCGCTGCCGAGGTACATACTGAAACTAATTACACTTTGAATGCATAATTGATTTACAAGCTCATTGTTCAAGGGACACACTAGGGGGTGATCTAATTGCTAGGGGTGATCTAATTGTTTGCTTCTCATAGTAGAAAATGTCGCTTCAATGACAAGAATAAAACACGCCGGTCTGTTAATGACTACTTGAAGATCTACTTTCCTACATTCCGGTAAGACTTAGTCACAAATGCATCAACAATTTTGTTTAGTTGAACTGTGTGATAGCTATATCTACGCATGCAGAGATGTGGAGATAGAAGATGAAGTCGTACCCATAGGGCTGTTCGGCGAGAGGCGGGGTAACGAGGTGCGCTGCATAGCCTGCCATGATTTCAAGAAGAAGAAATACAGCGAGAAAAAGCTCTACTATCATCAGCTACATGACCCTGAAGGTAGACAGGCGCGGTGTCCTGCTTCCACTGAGTACATACAAACAAAGATTCGTGATGTTCTCCCAAGAAAAGAGGCAGCAACAACAGAGCATCCTCCTCTTCAGGATGGCGCACAGGGACCATGAACATCGGTGTTTCTACATCTTGATGATGAACACGGTGAACATTATGAGTGGAGTGCTGTACGCCTAATCTCGTTGCCTCTGTACGCGATGGTATATTACTCGATCGGATCAGTTGTATGGATCAGAGTCTTTAGTTGTTCCTTAACTAGTTGCCTCTGTACGCGATGGTATATTACTCGATCGGATCGGTTGTATGGATCAGAGTCTTTCGTTGTTCCTTAACTGTGTATGAAAAGACCCTTTAATCTTGGATTCCCAGTCCTGGTCGGAAAACTGGGACTAAATCCATTTACCAACCGGGACTATAGCTATTTGTGTGCTAGTGTATATGATGTTGTCGTATTATTGCTCACATTAGCTTATTATATTATGGATATCATGGTTATCCTAAAAATATATTATTTTAGATTTTATATAGAAAAAGTAAAATATAAATAGATATGTATCATTCATGTCCTCGTATTTTTTTATAAAAGTTTGATTGTTTTCTCCGGTTACAACCCACAGGCATGTTTTGCTAGTATATATAGAAAAAAGAACAGCATAACTATCCATTTGCTACGCAAGATTTTCTAGAAGAATACACTTGAACACATATCCATTTGCTACGCAAGATTTTCTAAAAGAATACACTCGAACACAGTATGTCTTACTCAGCACACCCTTCAGCAGTATGTGGCCTCTGTTGTACCCTTTCTTAAATTGTTACAAAGCTTGCTCAGAACATCTACAACTTCCGGGAGAAGGTGTATATCATGCCTTAGTGTTTAATACCAGAAAAAGACCATAGATGACAGAATTAACCTATAATCATAGGTCAAGATACAGACATCCCACAAAAACGCAGTAGAACATTAGGCTATTTCAGGGGTCGACATGCACATGGACACTTCTCTGTATAGACTAGTGCCACTTGTCATCTACTGCGATAATAGTTTACAAATTGCGTTACATCAAGTTCAATTCGCCACCATCAGCCACCACCGTCGTGCAGTAGGTTCGTAAGTCCAGTTCCTCCCAAGCCAAGCACACACGCCTCTTATACAGAGCTCAGAGCTGTTGCCGGCTTGCGGCCAGAGGCACCTGACACTCACGCAATCCACTCTGGGCCAATGTATTGTGGGTTGGGTCGACGCTGACGTGGGACGCGAAGCCCAGCAACAAGATTCGAGGCAGCCGCTGGCGCCTTGGTGATTTCAGCTTCCTCTCTTTGGCTTGCTGCCTGGGTAGCTGAAGACACGATGTCAGGTAGGACCGTGGCACACAATAAATATTAACACAAGTACTCGTACCTGTGTCATTAGTGGATGAAACTGGAAACATTTTAGCTGGTGCTGGTGAAGTAGACAGCATAACCCCAAAAGCTGCAGTACTTGGAGCATCTGCAGGGCATAGGAGTTTCAAGTGAAAGGTGGTACTTATAAAGTACAAGAATTGTGCAAGTGTGTATGCATATATAACAATGATGCCAAGAGAAAATTTGGTATCGCACAAGCACAAAAAAGGTTATGTTGTATTGTATATATGCATCACAATTCCAAGTGAGAATATGAGACAGAAAAAAAAAGAGAGCAAGACATCAGGTGAGGTCATGAGGACAACCAATGTTTAATAAAATTAAAGAAAGCAATACCTGTGAAAGGCAAGTAAAGAATGATAGAAATAATATGAGATCTATGCTAAATTATCGTAGAGATAAGATCATGAGGAATCAAACAAGAATCATAGAATGTGTGGCATCAAGTTAATTTTTGCAATATAATGGCTCAAAGGTATGTCCTTGCTTGAGCAAGGACAAGTTTTGCATCACCCAAATTTCACCTAGGCACACATGATCCACAGCACTATGAAGCCAAGTTCATCATACAAGATACATGAGTAAAGAAAACGAAAACAAAGTAGCAATCAACTGCTTGAGTTATTGATTAAGCATGAGAGATTGAAGGAGAAGGAGGCCACCGAGCTAGGTACCTCGTGCCTTGCTATGCATTCTAAGAAATAGAAAGCTATATCTTCATTTCCAAAATAATATGAAACTGATGCTGTATTGGGCCTATAATTGGTCTTGGGTTTAAGTGATTAGTCCATTATTTGATATATATAAACCAGCATGCACATATATAGCATGGAAAACCAAATGGAAATGTCAAATGTACAATTAGCAACAAATGTGATTCATATCACTGAATCAGAATTTGTACCCAGATGTTTAGTAGTACAATGGATGTGAAACTATAACAGTAGCACAGGGAAGATGTTGTGCTTTGTTAGAGGTGTAAGTAACTCATGCCATTAAATATACAACAATTATGCCAAGGCACAAGAATCATGCATTATGCTTAATGGATGATGTTCACAAGACAGTTATTTCCACTGCATGCCAAATATTACGGGGATGCAGGCAAACCTGAAGAATTCATCCTGTGACTGATCTGAGGAGGCCTGAACAAAGCAAGGCGCGTGTGAGTGCCTGAGTGGTAGGATGCAGAACAGGCAAAGAAAACGCCTAGTTATTTAAGTTAATGAATATACCTTTTTGTTAGAAAGGAAAGGGCGAGGATATGTGCCGGAAGACTGCTAGCTTTATTCTTGTGATGGCTGGTACTTCGCCATGATCTGCAACAAGATACATATTTCTCACTCAATTGGACAATTAGATAACTAGATCGAGCGGTTGGTGTGGGCATTGGATGGGATCAGGCTTAACAATCCGAAACTTTGAATGAGATGCATACTCAGTATGACCAAGAGACATGCAGCGGGGTGACCGTGTACTGGCTTTGTTGAGCTCTGGGCACTTGGCAACCAAGTCCATAATGCCCTGCACTGCCCTGGGCTTGAAGCGCCCATATAGCCTGGAGGACCTGCAAGAGAAACCAACGTCACGGTCAGGGTCAGTGGCCACATACAGGTTCAGCAACTGATGCATATCAGCAGTGCTCGAAAGGCAATCAACGCAATGCGAGTAGTAGAGGCGCGCACTTGGTGTCGTCGGAGCGCATGGCGAGTAGGAGCCCGCGTATGCGGTCGTACTCTGGGAAGAACTGGATGCAAGCGTAGATGCGCCGGAAGAGGGACTCGACGGAGCGGGCCTGGCCAGCTGCCAAGGCGGCGAGCACGCGGAGGAGAAGGATGCGGTAGTTGAGCTCGTCGGCCTCGTGGCTGCAGTCGCGGTAATCGACGAAGCTGAGGGCGTAGGCCGAGGCGGCGGCCCAGCGGTCGCGGAGCATCATCCGCCGGAGCCGCGCCGCGTCGAAGAAGACGCACGTCTTCCGCTTCAGGCTGCGATTGCCATTGCCATTGCCATTGGTGGGTAACCAAATCGCATCAACTGATTCGATCCATCAGGAAGAGGGGGTGGGACGGGGGGAGGAGAGAAGTTGAAGAGATGGGTGAGGCGGCGTACACGTGGGCGGCGCGGTAGAGGCGGTGGCGCCTGAGCAAAGGGATGAGGCGGCGGAGCCGCAGCCCCGCCAATGCCGAACGATCGCCGCCCCTCGTCGTCGTCATCGAATCAAATCAAAGGGGAAAAAAAGGAAAAGGGGATGAGAGGAGTCGTGGGTTTATTATAGCGAACCGAAGAGGCCTCCTGCCAATGTTTTATTGGGCCTTCCCCTCGATCATGTTGGGTCGGAATCGGATTTGATAAGGGCCCGTTTGTTTTGTGTGAGTCCGAAAACACGAGACCCACTTTTGAAATCCCGTTTGGGTTGAAATGAAAACACGAGCTTTTGAAACCCCTAAGTAAGATGCTAGCACAAGCACAGAGAGAAACAGTGAGATGAAGCTAGAAGAAAAGGACGAGAAACTGAAGTGCAAACACGAGTGAGTGGGCTGAGGCCGGGCTGTATGTAGCCCATACCATACCGTAAGCAGCGGGCCCACGGGTGTGTGTCGACTAGTCGCTCCTCGGGCCCAAAACAGATAACAAAAGTCCCCGTTTCCCCGTTCGAAAGTGACGGGTTTTTTTTTCTATGGTACGCTATTTTAATTAATCCAGCCTATATAGACGGTCCGACAGTCTCTGGCTCTCTGCCTAACATATTTCTTTCTCACACTGTTGCTCATCTTATTGACATGGCACTGGGTGGGGTGTTTGTGGCTGGCAGCGCCGTGCTCGCCTTTCTCCTTCGCCACTAACCGTCTTCCATCACTTCCTCTTCCTCCCTAGCGGCCTTGCCTGTCGGTGCCCGCTAGCAGCAGCCACGCCAGCATCGGCCGCTGCGTGTGGCCAGGCAGCCAGGAGAGGTGGTCGTCGCTGGCCGGGCCCAGGCCAGGCGCAAGCGCAACTGGCCGCTGCCAGGCCGCACCACCATCCTCCTCCGCCGGCTTGCCGGAAGCGACCGTTCCCTCGCTTTATGTTGCGTCGTACGAAAGAAGAAAGGTGAAAACCACATGTTGAAAGAGTATCTTTCAAATGTTTCAGGGGTACGTTGCAAGTGTTGTATATTGATGTTGCAAAAGTAGATCGGGATGTTGCACATGTTGTAATGGCTATACACGTATAATTCAAGTGTATGTTCTAAATGTTTCATTTATTGCAGACGTATGTTGCAAGTGTTTTATCTGGATCTTGCAAAAGTAGAGCTGGATATTACATATACATGCATGTTGGAAACATATGTTTGAAGTATTTTCAGGTGTTTTATACGTATGTTTGCAAGTGTTTCATCTGGAGTTGTATATGTTTGTAATGGTTTTCAAATGTTTTTCAGGCGTTTTCTCAAATGTTTAAGACGTTTGTTTCAAGTGTATCATCTGTCTTCTTTTGTATATTGCAACTGTTGGTGTTGCACATGGAATGCGCAGGGAAGTGACTAGCGGCGTGGGCGACATACGGGACGGCACGGGCCCATGCTGGTGCCCTCGCGAGCCTGACACGCTAGGCGCTCGCTCCCTTCCTATGCGGGCATCGTCCGGATCGGACGTCTCGACGCTAGGTCTGTTCCCGTTTCCGGTAACAGAAACTGTACGTAACCTTTTTAGCCCTCTCGTTTTGGTTGCATTCTTTAGCGTGTTCAGCTGCACAAGTTCCAGCTTATTTCAGCTTGTTTTAGTTTATTCTCTCTCACAGAACACTATTGAATCATCCGAAATAATCCGAAATCCACTGTTCAACGGATCAGCCGAACACGGATCCACTGTTCAACTTGACTTGACTGCACATTTATGTCAGTATACAGTACACTTGAACATCGTGGCGTCCTCATTTTCTTCTGCAAAGTTCTAATCCTATGCCAAATTTCTTTGATGGAATTTCAACTACAATATTTATCAACTCCAAATCCCACTTTAGAATCCTATGTACATGCAGGGCGTATCATTGGATTAATCCAGTCTGGAACTGAATTTTGGACAAGGTGAAAACTGCACTGGGGTGGTTGTGTTCAGGTTGCGTACTGAGCACTGTGATAAGTTGCAAGGCAAGATGAAAAGCAACATTGCTTCCGACAACAGACAGTGGTCGACTGCATCAGTGTTTAGGAAAACTACGAGATGCATTACTGTACCGTGATGTAATGGTGAGAATGCTTAGTGCTGGAATGCTGTAGGTGAATGTTGATCCTAGGAATGGGAGAAGTAGATGGTGAATTTTTTACAGTGTATGCATTTTTTTAATCATGAAACTGAGCAGGAGCACTGAATTCAGTTGAACCCAACTCAGAGCAGAGACCAGACAGTACTAGTTTAAGTTGAAGCTAGAAGAAAAGGTGGCTGAACTGAATTTTTTTTTGGCCCGAGGGAGTGGGCTTAGTTGGGCCGACGACGGGACATAGCCAGCCAGGAGTGGCCCGTTAATGGATAGAACGGCCCCCCGTTCCCGGAAACAGGAAACTCCTTCCCTCCTAATCTTTGCCTGTAACTGCAGAGCTGTTCTTCTTCTCGCTCCTTCCACAGCTACAGTTGAGCGGAGGCGACAAAGGGGCGATCTGCGTCCGGCACCGATTTCCTTCGTTCCTCTTCCTCTCCGGTGGCCGGATCGGCGCCGGAGGGGATGGTGAATGGGGATTGAGGTGGCCGTTGTACATATACTTATCTAGTATAGGTCGTTTGGATCTAGGCAGCGTTTGTTGGGTGGAGGTGGCGCTACGACTGTGGAATAAGGGTCTCCGGCTCCTCCTCCACTGCGCCAGTGAGTCTTCTAGTGCCAGTGATGAGCTGTTGAGATGCGAGCACCCCGGATCTGGAGTTCTGGTGCTTGCTCCAGATCTCGTTGGGTTCTTTTGTCCCTTCCTTGTCTTCGTCATTGATGCTCGCTTCTTCGGCGATGACCTTGGAAGGTATGTTTACCAACATGAAGTGAAAATCGGGTTGGTCTTCAGTTCCCACCTGTTTTGGTGGTTCAGTTCCCCTTCAGGGTGACTCGTCGTCCGACGAGTTGGGGTTTCTGTCGGTCTTTGAGGTGTCAGATTCCTCGTTGCCTGGCGATGCGATGGTCAATGGCCATCTTTTTCGGCCGGGTCGTTCAGCGTTCATAGTGCATGTCGGATACGATATGCTGCTCAAGATGGCAACAAAAAACTGTGTTTCTTTGTCAGGGAGGAGGTCGGCTTCAAGCTCTACGCTCTTGCCGACGGCGGCGAGGAAGACCAGGAAGAGGTTACAAGGACTAGAATGTATTTTTCTTTTCTTTCGAGGGTGTCCTTGTAAGAAATGGGCTGTAATCACCAAAACTTATGAATGAAATATAAACCCGGTTTCTCAAAAAAAAAAAAATCTTTGCCTGTAATGGAAACTACGCTGCATCTGTGCCTCTGACAGGTGGGCTATCCTTCCTTCTGGCACGCATAGAGGCCCAGAACAAGAGACATTGATTCATCCACCACAGAATTTTTTTTGGGGCAGGGGGTTAATTTAGGCCTTGTTTAGTTCCTTCTCCTAAAGTTTGCCTCCTATCTCATCGAATATTTGGACACATATATGGAGTATTAAATATAGACTAAAAATAACTAATTGCACAGTTTATAATTAATTTGCGAGACGAATCTTTTAAACCTAATTAGTCCATGATTTGACAATGTGGCATAACACATATGCTAATGACGGATTAATTAGGCTTAATAAATTCGTCTCGTGGATTACCAATGGATTCTGTAATTTGTTTTTTTTATTACTATTCGAACACCCCATGCGACAATCCCATGTGACACCCGACGTAACATACTAAAATTTTACACCCTTAATTTAAACAAGCCCTCAGTTAATTTTGCCATCCAGCCTCACCATAACTTTTTTTTAGGACTGGGTATTCTAGTGAGACATTTGATTCAACTGCTGCGAATACAAATACTGCGACAATAGTTCTCCTGTATAGAACATAGACTATGATAATAGTTAACAAAATCCGTTACTACATCAAGTTCAACTCGCCGCCACCTCTTATACAGAGCTGTTGCCGCCAGAGGCACCTAGCACTCACGCAATCCACTCTGGGCCGATGTGTTGTAGGTTGGGCCGACGCTGACGTGGGACGCGAAGCTCAGCAACTAGATTCGAGGCAGCAGCCGCTGGCGCTTTGGTGATTTCGGGTATGTTTGGTCCTAGCCATAGTGTACCACAACTAACTTTGGCAAGTGTAGCAAGCCACCAAAAGCATAGCTAGCAAATGGATTGTTACACTTTGCCGTGTCTAAGAGAATCTTGTCACATTTTATTACTACTCTACATGTGGAGCCCAAAGAAATCATATCTAAGCTTAATTATCAACCAAACACCTACCAACTCGATCAAACTTGCCTAAGGTAAAGTGTGGCATTCAGCTCCCATTCCTTGGTTTGCTGCCTGGATAGCTGAAGAAGCGAGGGCCTTGTCAGGTAGGACCGTGACACACAATATAATAATTAATATTAAACCAGTGCTCGTACCTGTGTTATTAGTGGATGGAACTGGAAACATTTTAGCTGGTGTTGGTGAACTGGACAGAATACCCTCAAAGGCAGCACTTGGAGCATCTGCAGGGCATAGGAGTTTCAAGTGAAAGGTGCTACTTTTAAAATACAAGAACTGTGCAAGTGTGTATATGCACATAACGATGAAGGCAAGAGAAAATTTGGTATCACACAAGTACAAAAAAAAAGGTTATGTTGTACTGCATATGCATCATAAGTCCAAATGAAAAGATGGAATAGAAAAAAAAAGAGCAAGCCATAAGGTGAGGTCACGAGGACAACCATGTTTTAATAAAATTAAAGCAAGCATACCTGTGAAAAGTAAGTAAAGAATGATAGAAATAAAATATGAGATCTATGCTGAAGTATCCTAGAGATAAAACCATGAGGAGTCAAACAAGAAAAATAGAATGTGTTACGTCGAGTTAATTTCTGCAACATAATGGCTCAAAGGTATGTCTTTGCTTGAGCATCTAAGTTTTGCATCACCCAAATTTCATCTAGGCACACATGATCCATAGCACTACGAAGCCAAGTTCATCTTACAAGATAGATGAGTAAAGAAAACGAAAACAAAGTAGCTATCAATCGCTTGAGTTATTGATTAAGCATGAGACATTATAGGAGAAGCTAGGAGGCCATCGAGCTAGGTACCTCGTGCCTTGCTATGCACTCTAGAAAATAGAAAGCTATAGCTTCATTTCCAAAACGATATGGAACTGATGCTGGGCCTACAATTGGTCTTGGGTTTAAGTGATTAGTCCATTATTTAAAAAATATAAACCAGCATGCACATATATAGCATGGAAAACAAAATGCTAATGTCAAATGTACAACCACTACCGGAAACAGTCAATTTGCCGAGTGCAAGGGGGTTTGCCGAGTGTAATCCTTCGGGCACTCGACAAACAAGCTCTTTGCCGAGTGCTGTGCGAAAAACACTCGGCAAAATAATTACACTCGGCAAAAAAGAAGGTTTGCCGAGTGCAAAAAAAAAAACACTCGGCAAAGAAGGGGGTTTGCTGGCACTCGGCAAACCCCCTTCTTTGCGGAGTGTTTTTTTTGCACTCGGCAAAGAAATAGGTTTTTTTCTCTTCTGACCTTCAAACTTTTTCTACTCTGCACATACAACATGTGGTACGCCATATTAAAATTTAGTATATTTCTGGATCTGTTAGCTATATTTAATTAATTTATTGCATTTCAAGATTTTTTTTGGTTTAAGTGAAATTTGAACTGCAAATGATTCAAATAATAGAATAAAATGAGTAGAAAAATGATAGTCATGTTATTGAGTCCAGTGTGAGGCCTTACCTTAGAAATGAAAGGAAATTCCGAACATCTCGTTTAGGAAACACGACCACGAACGTGTGGCCGAATGATTTTTAAATTCTAAAAAAAGCAAACGAAGTTTGAAAATCATGAGATTTGTCATGATGTGATGATATCATATGTGGAGGCTGTGGTAAAAAAATGATAAGGTTTCGCACGTTTTGCCACGTACGATGTTTACAAACCGAAGCATCTTAGAAGAAGAATCGTAGCGCTGAGAAGGATTCGGTAAGATTTGGAGTCAAAGTGACGGTCGAATTGGGGTTTAACTTCAAAACTTTTTATATAGGCAATAGAGAACATAGATTGTTTCATGTGAAATTTTGGTAATTTTTTGGATTCGTTTGATAATTTTAATTTATTAAGTGCAATTACAGAATTTTAATTGATATAAATTGAATTTGAGCTATAACTGCATGAAATAATGGAATAATAATCGTAGAAAAATTAAATATATATTGTCGACTGAATTTGACAAGGTATTTTCAAAGTACATCGAAACAAATTTAAAAAAATACGTTATGGAAAAGGAGGAAAAGAAAGAAAATGAAAAAAAAAACTGGACTTGCCAAGAGCCCCTGGTCTGGCACTCGGCAAACCCCTTCTTTGCCGAGTGTCAGATCTGGGACACTCGGCAAACCCCCACTCATATACCCCGCATCCGGCCGCACACAGCCACACACGCACACACCCACCCGTGCCACACACGCACACAGCACACCCGCCTCGCCCGCCCGGCTGGCAGGCTCCCTCTCAACCCCCGCCGACGCCACTCCCGGCTAGCTTCTTGCCTGCCGTGGCGTGGCGCCACTGAACCCCTCCTCTCTCCTCTGCCCGCCTCGCTAGAGGTGGCGACCTGATGGGAGGACCCAGGCGACGCCCGCCGGCGCCCACCGCTCCCGCCCCCGCCTCCACCTCCCTTCCCTCTCTCTCTCTCTCTCTCTCTCCGTGGCACAGTGGGAGGGCCCCAGCATGGATCCCCTCCTCCCCCGCGTCTCTCTCCCCCCTATGTGGTGCCACACCGGTGGGTCCCCATGATTGTCGGACTCCGTGCTGCCGGGCACCACGGTGGCTTGCCCCCCCCAGATGCGACCATCTCTCTCTCCTCTCTCTCAATCGGCATATGCATGGAGGCAATGTCAATTTCACCCTATATCTATTGTTCTTCCTTTATCTTACCAAACTTTTTTTTGTGTTGTATATAGGCTATGACCTGCTTTCGGTTGGGTTGGATCCTCGCATAGCGATCGGGGTATTGTGGCATATATCTAAGCGCATGGCCATGTCAATGATGTTTGTTTCATTTCTTACTGTCACATGGAAATTGAGACCGTGTACACTGCGATGTTGATGGTCTTTGGATTATTGTTTGCATTTTTTTGGTCATGTGCAGTTGAAAGCTCTAGATTGGTTTTGGTGAATTGATAAAACCCTAAGTGCTAACCTAGTTTATCAAGTGATCATGAGATAGGTGGCATACTCCAAGTGGAGCAGCAAACGAAGATCATGACATGATGATGGTGATGCCATGGTGATGTTCAAGTGCTTGGACTTGAAAAGAAGAAAGAGAAAAACAAAAGGCTCAAGACAAAGGTATAAATGATAGAAGCCATTTTATTTTGGTGATCAAGACACTTAGAGAGTGTGATCACATTTATGTTTGATAGCCGTACTATTAAGAGGAGTGAAACTCGTATCAAAATGCGGTTATCAAAGTGCCACTAGATGCTCTAACTCATTGCATATGCATTTAGGATCTAGTGGAGTGCTAACACCCTTGAAAATATTTATGAAAATAAGCTAACACATGTGCACAAGGTGATACACTTGGTGGTTGGCATATTTGAGCAAGGGTGAAGAAGATAGAGGTGAAAAGGAGTTAGTCACACTGGTCACGCAGTGACCGGACGCTGGTCACAAAAGGACCGGTGTGTCTGGTCAGTAGTAACAGCGAAGACGCCGGCGTCGGTCTTCGACCGGACGCTGGGTCACAAACTGACCGGACACTAGAAGGCTGCATCCGGTCCAGCTGACGTGGCAACACACAGTGTTGAAGGTGACTGACCGAACGCTGGCTGTGTCCGATCAAGCGTGACCAGACGCGTCCGGTCGTGAAAAGTCATCTCTGGATGCTTACTGGATACGACCAGACGCTGGTGCTCAGTGTCCGGTCACTTTGAGATGTTGTGTCCGGTCGTCACTTGACCGTTGAGATGGGGCGATCAACATTTGAAGAGAGGGAGCACGTGGAATGCATCACGTGACCGGACGCTGAGGTCCAGCGTTCGGTCAATATGACCGGAGCGTCCGGTCACCCCGCGTTGTGCCCAGTGAAGGGGTACAACGGCTCTATTTTATGGGGGCTTCTATTTAAGCCCTATGGCCGACTTAAGCTCACGCTCTTGGCCATTTGCATTGACATAGCAACCTTGTGAGCTTAACCAAAGCCCTCTCACTCATCTCCATCATTGATTCATCATCTTTGTGAGATTGGGAGAGAATCCAAGTGCATTACTTGAGTGTTTGCATCTAGAGGCACTTGGTGTTCATGTTTCACTATGGGATTAACTT